CTCCAGAAGGCAGCCTTCCTTCTAGCAGGAGCATTTGATGAGAACCAGTGAGCTGTTTTCAATTTCTCATCACAAGATGGTAAGAAATTGTCTCCTAGTCAAATGACAAAACATTTATCTCAGTTGGTGTGTCAAGCAGACCCTAACAAGAAATTTTTGGCACATGACACCAGGAAATATGCAGGGTCTGTGGCCTTCCTGCGGCATATGAGCCTCAGTCAGATCAAAGAAGTGGGCTTTTGGAAATCTTCAAAAACTTTTCAAAACAGCTATCTTAAAGATGCTCCATATGTGATGGTACTGGGGTCCCCTCCCCCACCTGGTCCATCTCCACAACCAGGATCTTCCTCATCAGAAAAAAGTGAGAATCCTGACATTGGATATGTAGCTTAAAATTTTACCTTCCGGTAAATGTTTCCTCTTAAGGAAAATATTCCAAACAGGTTTATAATTATTATCTGGACCTAAGCTAACGGAGCCTTATATGCACTGTCACCTTCCTCTCCGCATCCTGCTTGGGTAATCAAAGCTAGACGTCTCATTCTGGAATAAACAAAAAACCTTTTTTTTTTTCTCAATTCTAAAATGCAGTTTTTGTGATAAAAGCAAGAATGCGACATCGACATCCCACCCCTCGAGAGTTGACATTTGTTTACTGCTTTTTCTGGGGCAAGAGATGACAGCAGTGATGCGTGTGATGGAGGGTGCGGGAGGCGAGTTTTGAGAATTGCAATTAAATGCCAGGTAGCGACATGTCCTCCTAATATTACTACTTATTTTAGTAATTATTAGATGTTTTAATTGCCTGTATGTTGGCCTAGCAAGTTAATACATATGCAGGTACAAAGCTAGACGTCGCATTCTGGCCTTTATTACAAAAATTGCTTTTTAGATAAGAACAGCATTTTTCCACAGATGTTCTTTATTTGAATTATTTGTATTTTTTCAGTTTCTAGTTTTTATCATTGATCATAAATTACCTGTGGTTGGCAGTACATGAAGGATGAGGGATATTGGAGGTTAAAACACGGCAAAAAAATTATCATATGACACAAAAATTATGTCGTCTCTACATGCTTTGTACTCTTCGAAAAATATGCCAAGTCACAGCATGTCTGTTTGTTTACAACTGATCTGCTCAGTCCGAGCGTACTCTCACGTCCACTAAAAACATAAAATTACATAATGACGCTTCAACAAAATTGCTTTCATTGACACCAGTTATCAAATAAGTACAGTGGTCCCTCAATTAACGAACGGTCCAATTAACGAAATTTCGGATAACGAATTAGCTCCCATAAGAATTTTCAATTCCATTAATGAAAAAATCTTCGATTAACGAAAGCCTTACGAGAAACACGTTTTGTTGTGCGCATCAGCTGATCGGCTGGTCCGCCAATACAGTAATTGGTTCTATGTTTACATTCGTTTCCAGTGGAGTAAATGTCAAGAAAGTTGTGCTCTTGAATATTTTGCATTTTTTATATTAAAATTACTGGTCATTCTAATTTAGTTAACATACTGATAATATATACAGTGGGGTATGCTATAACAAACGGATCCTACTACGAATATTCCTATAACGAACGGTTTTACCAATAAAATTGAGAATGCTATAACGAACGAAACTCCTACAACGAACATTATTTAAATTTTTTTTTATTTATTTATTTATTTTTTTACTAATTTATTGTTTTTTTATTACAAGTATTAATGATATTGGTTATTTCAGGGGTTTAGATGCATATTTATGCACTTTTTTACAATTTTATATTCTATTTTTCAGTGTTAAGTGGTTGTATTTGGGGGCCTGGAACGGATTAATCCTATAACGAACGAATGCTATAACGAACAAGGTTCTAGAACCAATTAGATTCATTATAGCATACCCCACTGTACAGTGCAGGGAACAGTTTTTGTGTGCTAATCAGCTGATCGAATCACCCACCAACGCTTCTCAGTTTAACTTTGTTTACAGTGAAGTTAACATCCAATTTGTTGGTCTCTTGAATATCCTTGCATTTTTACATTAAAATTATTGGCCATTCTAAATTTTAGTTCATATATTGATAATATACCGTATATCACGGCCTATAAGGCGGCGGGGTGCATAAGACGCCCCCCCCAAATTTCCATTTAAAAAGTAGCTTTTGAGCTCTATTTGCTGTATAAGACCAGTACCCCAAATGTGACACTTACCCACTGACTCAGTAGTCCTTTACCAACCATCCTTGATTTTTTAAAATAAGGCCAATTCACTTCAAGTAATGTCATCAAATTATACCCGCTGGTGTAGTGTAAACACTAGTGACGTCACTGAAGCGTGGTGGGAGTGTTCCCTCGTCTCGGTGGTGTGACTATTTATACAACATGTGGTTCAACAGCAACCACCGTATTCTAATTGTGGTGTTTCATTAGGATTTGAGTGAAAAAGGTTACCAGTATGTACTTACTACATACATTTATTACACAAATATATATATATATATATATATATATATATATATATATATATATATATATATATATATATATATATATATATATATATATATATATATATATATATATATATATATATATATATATATATATATATATATATATATATATATATATATATATATATATATATATATATATATACTGAATATACTATGTACAAAAAATGAATGTTCAATGAATTATTTATGGTGCATTAGGGTACTGGTCACTTCTGATGGGCTATAAATAGCCTTCTTTATCTCCCCTCCATCTCACCCTGAGCCAGACGGAAGGGTCTTGGTAAATAACATGTTTGCTTATTTTCCATTTACTTTAAATAGATTTACCGAATTATTTGTTTTATTTATTTATTTATAATATACTGTAATATATTAAACACACTGTAATTATTTTCTTTAATTTATAAACTGTTTTGCGACAAAGGAATGTTCTCCAGTAGTGTTTCATTAGGATTTGAGTGAAAAAATATTACGTACTTACACAATTGTTCCTCTTACTTTGACAACACAACATACATACAGTATATTATTTCTCAGTTTTGATCTTTTTTTTTAATTTTTGTATTTATTTATAGTTAGTTACTTAAAATAAGGCCAATTCACTTCAAGTAATGGCATCAAATATTACCAGCTGGTGTAGTGTAAACACTAGTGACGTCACTTGAGCGTCTGTAATTAACCGTCGATAGTTTCAAGAATTAATGCACTCATTTACTGAATATTCTTTGTAAAAAAATAAAATTTAAATCAATTATTTATAGGAGATAAATATTATTATGAGTAAATATACCGATACCGGTATGCATTACTGACCACCTCCACGGCTCCTCACTGGCAAATGGGGGGGGGGGCGTGGGGAGGGGTGTGTGATGATAGCTGTGTTTATTATAGGGGTATAAATCTCTTTTACGGTATGTTAGACAGGTTTATAATACATTTTTATTATTTTAATATACCGGTAATCTTAATTTGAATCCAGCTTGCCAAACGTAAGTTTCAGTATAAAATAATTAGTGGTAAGACCTTGTGAGTGGCTTACGATGTTTTCATCACCACTCTTGACACACTAAACCACAATATTTAAGAGGTAAGAATTTTAAACTTGGTGGTTTAGACGACCCCCTAACTTTGGGCAGATTTTTTTAATGTTCAAATTTCGTCTTATAGGCCGTGATATACGGTACAGTGCAGAAATTATTATGAAACATGAAGAAGGCATTAGAACCAATGCACTCTGTAAAGAATATGGCATGTCATCAACTGTCTGTACAATCATCTGTTTGATATGTAAGCAAAGCTGCCAGTAATACGACATACACACCTCAAAGTAAGTTAAAATACAGTATTTAATGTTTTTTATTTATTATTGTACAGTACTGTACAGTACAGTACTGTATTTAGTTTATATTTAATGTTTTGTTAATTATATTACCGGTATACAGTACTTTGTGTGTCATTTTTCTGTGAGTTAGAACCAATTACCCAATATCCCATTTAAATAATAGATTCAGTTAACAAAATTTTTGGGTAACGAACGACTCTGTGGAACCAATTGTGTTCGTTAATTGAGGGACCACAGTACAGGTGTTTAATATGGCGGGGAGGCTAGGAGGTTACAATAAGTACGGTTAGGTACGGGTACTCCCCGACTTACGACCTACTTGACTTACGTTCACCCGCACTTACGACCTGCCCCAGTCGTACCAAAATTTGGTCAAATTACGTATTTTCAAGTCCCAAAGTCACTACACAGACAAAATTTTCATCTGTAATTCACTTTAAAATGGCTGGCAAGCTTAAAAGTGAGTGTTTTGTGGTGCTGAGAAGAAAAAGAGACACCCATTTTCGATTTTCTATGTGTTATTTAAGCATTTCCGACATACGACCTGGATGTCGGTCCCTAACCCCGTCGTAAGTTGGGGAGTACCTGTATGTTTCTTTTAAGAAGGTTGGTTAGGTCAGGTTCCCTTAGGTTCTTTTAAAATACTTACCATAATGATAAGAACATCTGGAAAAAATTGACAAAATTGAACATATCCTGTGTTAGTGATGTTCTCATACATTACAATTTCTTCATGTACAAATCATGTAGAGACATAATTTTAGTGTCATATGATCAGTTTTTCATCACATTTTCCCTCACCCTTCATGCCCTGCCCACTACAAGTGACTTACAATTGTAGGTAGAGAAAAGCTAAAAACAAAAAATACTTAAAATAACAATAGAAATTTGTCACTAATTTATAAATACTTAATATAATAATTAAAACATCTGTGGAAAAATGAACGAAATCAGACAACTCCTGGTGGTAGTGCTGTTCTAAGACATAACCGAATGAATTTTATTATTCCTATTATTATTATTATTTATTATTTTTTTTTTTTTTAATAAATATACTGTTCTATGAAGTAGTTGATGAGTGTTGCGAGCTGGAGTTGTAGAACCCCTTTAACTCTGGGTCCTTAATTCTTTTACTTTTCGTACTCCTTGTACAGTTCTTTCATCATTATGAGTGCCAAGAAAATGGAGTCACTTACACCCATGGAGGTTCACACCATCCTGCGGGCTTCGGACGCTGAAAGTGACGAGACTTTTGATCCAGATAACTTGGAGAGGACCGACGAGGATGACTCAAGTGATTATAATAATGACTCAACCTGTCCTGAGTCATCCACCAGCAAACCAAGGATCCATGATCAGCACATAAAGTCAGAAGTCAAAGGTGCGCAAAACCGAGAAAACCTTAACAAGGTAAGGCACATTCTATCATATTGAAATGAACCTTTGACTGGTTATTGTTGGAAGATGGTATCACTCCTTAACCAGCAACTTCAGGAAATTTTTCAATGAAAGATAAATGGGTACTTTTCCATTATACCCCAGAAGTGGCTGTATACAGGACCATCCTGCACCTAACTCAGAGGTAGTAAAATTGCCGTTTCACTACTGATTGGTTTTGTACTGGAAATCTAGGTTTTTCCCGTGGTATTTGGTGTGATTCATTTGAATTTGACTAATGTTTCCACTGGAAATGGGTGATTTTTTTAGTTATCACCCCATAGAACCTGACCTAACCGACAAACGAAGCCTACTTACCTTCCTCGCCATACACCTTGTCACATAACAGTTCGAACAGTTCAACGGAATAAAGGACAGTTCACCTATGGCTTTGACGTTATATCTCATCCTTTGACATTCCCTCGTAATGAATTGACGCTGTAACATACCACTGTTTCGATTGATGTTTCATGGTTTCGGGTGGTCAACCCCTCTTGTGTAAAATGACCGTTCCCTGTGTAAAATGCACCAAGAGGTATGATAGTTGTTATGTTGTTTGTTAATTTATTATCTCTTTGTCAAATTCTTATGGTGGTATGTCATTCTCCAATTGTTGCATTCTCTAACTACAGTATATGCAGACTGTCGGTTTATTGTTCACGCTTGTCAATTTCATAACCTTTGTCAATCATTTCTGTTAGCATGAACGAACAGTTATTTTAGAATGTCATTCGATATGTGTTCTGTTATTCGGTTATGAAATATGTCATATAAGGTAAAAACAATGTTTCAACATATATGTGAATAGGTGTATCATTAGGGAGTGACAGTTTGGCAAAAGTTTTCAAAATCTAATTGCTTGGGTTGGATTATTTGTCTATCGGCCACGCTAATTCCGAATATGTTTGAGTTTTTTACATCATTGCATTAGAAGGTTTGTGGATACTTTTGGGTTTGGCATGAAAAACGCGAAAAAACTGTAAATAATAAAGGGACTGGCAATGTGGCACAACCTGTTAAAATCAAGTTATTGAATTGGATTATTCGACTACTGTGTACACTGGTTCATAATATGCTATTGTTTTACAACTCAATGCGCTACAAATTATGCCGATATTTTTGCTGCAAGTCACCACATACAGTGGGGTATGCTATAACGAACGTAATTGGTTCCAGAACCTCGTTCGTTATAGCATTCGTTCGTTATAGGATTAATCCGTTCCAGGCCCCCAAATAAAACCGCTTAACACTGAAAAAATTCTGTGGAAAATGTAAAAAATACGGTACTTTATCTTACCTTAGTGTTATTCAGCATGCAGGTACCCCTAAACACTGGCACATCACTATCACTTCCACTGGGAGTCTTGGCTTTAAGGTCCTCAAACAATTGTTTAGCCTTCTCACAAATTATAGCTTCACTAATGTTACCACCTGCCATTTCTTTCTCCTTTATCCACACTAAGAGTAAATTTTCCATCTCTTCAATCACATTACACCTTGCTTTGCTAAGTCTAAAGATTCCCTTAGCCACTTGCACAGTTTTTAACTCCTCTTTATTCTTCAAAATCGTACATATAGTCGATTTAGCCATCCCATATTCATCACTAAGTTTCGCAATGCTTCTTCCATTCTCACGTTTCTTTATAATTTCTTTCTTAGTTTCAAGGGTTATTAGCTTTCTCACTCGCTTTGGACGACTCATTGTTACAATTGTATACTTGTATAACAAACTAGTTATACAAATAACGCGAATTTCCACATCAAAAGACGAAATTTCAACAATAACAGTGGTGCACTGGCTACACAATGAGACAAAGATGGCGCCTGACGCTCTTGTTGTGGGTCGCGGTACAACAATATTCATGCGCCAGGCGAAATAGTCTGGTATTCATCCGTGTTCGTTGTAGGAGTTGCGTTCGTTATAGCATTCTCAATTTTATAGGTAAAACCGTTCATTATAGGAATATTCGTAGTAGGATCCGTTCGTTATAGCATACCCCACTGTACGTATATTTCGAAAAGCAGGGCCCAATATTACCAACGGCGTGGATAGATTCCGTGGAATGAATTCAGGACATTCCCGCTCATGTAACATTACCAAACTCCGTATATGTGCCAATGGCAGGCCAATGGCAATATTTACAGAGTTTGTTGAGGCTCCCTGGACGGGAATGCCCTGAATTTATTCCACGGAATCTATTCACGCCGTTGGTAATATTCGTCCCAGGACTGATCAACGAATTCAGCCCAAGTAGCTTGACTTGGACAGTTAAGGACAAAATCTCAGTCCGTACTTTTGAATAAAATATTGTTCAATAGGTGGTGATATTGAAGTGCTGAAAGTTGTTTTTTCTGTGTTGTTTTGCAGTTAGTTCAAAGGGCCGCCACCAAGATGGGTCGTCCTAAGATTAGCAACACTCAGCTGCGCCATCTAACAAGTTGCCTCTGAACAAGGAAGTTGGAAGTGCCCTGGCTTATGAAGCAGAAAACGAGAGGTTAAGGAGAAGAACAAATGCTTTTGATTATATGGATGCCACCAACAAGGTGACTGAGAAGGTACTGGATGTGTATAAGAAGGCCACTGTCCCCACTATCTCTGAAATCAGGGTGAAAATGAGAGTCCACGACCTGTGGAGGATGCGGAGGGAGACGATGATGATGAAGGGAAATGGACAGAAACAGAAAAGGAAGAAAACGAAGAACGGGAAGCTGAAGATGAGGTTCGAGGATATAGCTGAGAAGTTGTTTGATGTGGCAGACGACAGCAAAGTGCACGAACGAGAGAAAAGCTTCCTGGCAGCCCAGAGGAAACCGGGAAGGGAGGGCTGCATTGATGGCGTTGACAAAATTGTGACTGCCAAGCTGAAAGAAGAGAGGGAGAAGGAAGCGAAGAGGGCAAAGAAAGAGGACTACCAGTGCTAGACTGTGGGGACACTGGGACTGAGGGGACACTGTGGGGACAGCCAATGTTAGTGTGCCAACTGTGCTAGTGTGCTGCTGATAAATTGAAGCATACATGCCAATAATAAAGAATGTCTACCATTATTCTTGTTTTTTTTTATGTCGAACCGAAAAGTATCCACAAACCTTCTAATGCACTGATGTTAAAGATTCAAACATATTCGGAACCAGCGTGGCCGATAGACAAATAATCCAACCCAAGCTACTTGATTTTGAAAACTTTTGCCAAACTGTCACTCCCTAGTGTACAGTATTAAACAAAAAGTACTTATTTTTATATATGATACCAATGAAAGGAACTTTGTTGAAGCAGCATTGTGTAATTTTACTTTTTTTGTGCTGTGAGAGTACAGTACTGTACGTTCAGACCAAGTTGGACAGTTGTAAACAAACAGATGACATGCGGTAACTGCAGATTTACATGAATTTACCATCTCGGTTATTATCCATTTCCAGTGCAAGTGGTATTAGAAAAGGTTGTTGCAATTGATGAGATATAATTTCTGGTGAACCCAAAATTGCTCTAACCCAATTTGGAGTGAAACTGCAATAATACCAAAGAAGTCTATGTTGTACAGGTACAGTAAGCCCTCACTTAATGACAGGGTTAAGTTCCTGAAAACGAGATGTTATGTGAAACAGCGTTAAGCGGATCAATTTTCCCCATAAGAAATAGATAAAATACGGGAGTTACGTTCCCCAGCCTCCCTTTGCCCCATAAAATACATTACATATACAGAAAAGCATTGTCATTTCTATCGAAAATAGTGCATACATATACAACTAAGTACTCAGTTTGTATTGGTACTCACTGATGGGCGGAGGTGGTAGAGCGGGTGTGTGGTGGGTAGTGGAGCGTAGGAGGCGGATGGCAGGAGAGGAGGAATATGGTGGGCGTGGGGGAGGAGGGTGGGAGCAGAGGAGGGCGGAAGAGGACGGTGGTGAGGGAGCAGTGTGGGAAGGAGGAAGCAGTGAGGGAGGAAGGAAGCAGTGTGGGAGAGAGGAAGGAGTGGGTCAGAGGTAGGAGTATGGGAGAGAGGGTACTAGTGTTGAAGGGGGAAGGAGTGTGGGGTGGATGTAACCATGCAGTGGGACTAGGAGTGGTAGGGGTCGGTGAAGTGGAGGGAGTAAAGGACGTTCCTGGAGATGGAAAGGCCAGTAAACCTCTCTCCTCCACTTGCCACTCATCATAGTCATTACTTTCCTCTTGTTCAAATGAGTAATATGGGTCGCTAATACATCAGGCATGGGGCAATTAATTAACTTGGCATGACTAGCAGGGCTGTGGAGTCGAAGACAAAACCTTCGACTCCGACTCCTCAAATTTTTATGCTTCCGACTCCGACTCCTTGGCCTATTTGTAACAACTATTTCTACCATCCTAATTGTAATTTGTATGTTGTAAGTTACAACATACAAATTACAATTAGGATGGTTCCAACTTGTAACCTGCGTAGGTAAAAAGTAAAACACCGTGGCTATACTGCTACAGCTTTATTAATGATCTGGACGATATTTAAGAACTACAAAAAGATGATAGGCTTGACTTTCAAAGTTTCAATCAAAAGAAAAATAAATTTATTAAGAATTCAAGATATTAACTAGAAAACACCATTTACATGTATATCTAAAAGTTCGATCTCAGCATATGAATTTTGTTTAAGCTCATAATCTGATGTGGATCTAAATGATGATCCTACAATTCCTTTTAAAGTAAAGTTATATATTTATGTACATTAAAGAAATGAATACCTTATTAAGGAAAATGGATAAACCTTACATGATTAAGTTATTAAATTAAATTTGCCTTAATCTCACCAAAAACAGGTTGTAGCTAATTGTTTTGTAGCTGAGAGCCTCTGTGCAGTTTTCAACGAAACAAAATTTGATATAATTCAAAATTTCAAATGGTAAAGAAGAGACTATCGTCCAAAATTATAGTGCTATACTGTGCCTGCTACAATAAATTCACAATAATGCTTATAAAATGGAAATAAATTCTTTTAATAATT